CCTACGTTTATGGCACACTCTGGGAGATCGATTTGAGCAATTTAGTAGACATTGATGAGTGAGTGGATTTGAAATAAATAAAAACTTATGACACTTCATAAAAACAGTCACATTTTCATATAAATTTTCGATTCATAAAGCAGTTAGTCTTCTTTATTTTAGCTATTGTCACTTCATTTATATGTATATTTTCTTATTTGTAATCCCATTATTTGATTTTTTAATTTATTTTGTTTTATTTGCAGTCAAGAAGGCGTCCACGAAGGCATTTACTATCCAGTCAGTTTACCAGTTATGTTGCCGAATAACACTTTGATTACTGCACGCGCCTATTTGCTGGCCGATCAACCGAAAACCCGTTTAAATGACTTTTCCAGCGGTGACAAAGTCCCAATTACGCGTCGACCTTCGATAACTTACTTGCAGTGTTTGGTAAAGGGTGCTGAAGAAACCGGTATTGTGCCGTGGTATGTGGATTGGCTGAAGGCTGTGAAGCATAATGGGCATGTTGCACCGGATTTGGAGCGCATACTAGAATTAACGGATGTGAAGTTGAATTCTTAAAATACATCTTAAATTGGCAAGATGGATGTCTGTGATATACTAATATGTACATATTTACTTAATTGTATTAGCTTTATTTGTAAGTTTTTTTAAAGGATATTTTGATTTCTATCGAAATTAAAAAAAATCGTTTAAGATTTATAGATATGTATACTAAAAAATAAACCAAAAATATTGTTGTTTAGATAAAAAGACTTTTACTTTATATGGCAAAGGCATACATAGTTACTGTTTCGTAATTCCATAATAAATAAAAAAAAAATGCATTTTAAAATTGGCGAAGTACATATTGCATATTTCTTGCAACAGGGACATCATTGAAAAAATCAAAAACTAGAGAAAAACAGCTTTCAAATTTTGAATTTAGATACCGACAGCTGATCGACCTACATATCTCGGCAGCCGATTCAAAAACGTCCTATATAGTAATAGCACTAGTGTGTATACGGCGAAAACTTGCAAATATGAGTGGAGGCGTGTGAAATAGGATGTAAGGTTAAGTAACAACTGATTCTCTGTAAATTGTGCTATAATTTAAAGTTTTGTAATATTTATTTTATTCCAAATAATATAATCATAACTAGCCGACCCGGCGAACTTCATCCCGGCCATAATTAGATTTGTAATTTAATCGTTTTGGTCCAACATTTTCTCCAACAGTCCACGATTTCCATTGGCAAATTCATCGGCTAAGATGCCGCCTTAAATAAACTAACGAAAGTGTTATATCCATGAAGAAGTGAATTTGCTCTAGAAACTCTATCTTATAGTTGGTGGCAATTCCAAAATGGATGCGTATCCTNTAAGTCTTCATTAAATTGCTTTTATTAAACTGGCTTTTAAGGTATTTCGACAGGTAGTGTTTTGAGATTTACCACTGCACAAATCAACCCTGGTATATCCGAATGAAGCTTTAACGCATAATAATATTGGCAAATCACGTCCATTAGGCCAATCGTAATACACGAGAGTTCGATATACTCAATGGTGCAACAGGTCGATTTAGTCTGACATTCACGGCATCTTTTCTCACTTGTCAATTTTCAGTAATAACTCGACCTCAGCATCACCTCACATCTCTTTTTTGCAATTGGACTCGGACCATAAAAAAAAAGATATTTAGTAATAACTAAACTCCACCGCCAACTGGCGGGTTAGATTGTGAGCCTAAACTATCCAGGGACTCACTCAAACACACACACAGAAATTTTTGAAATCCCTCCAGCCATTTAGGATTTCACTCACAAACATACCTAAAGAAGAATTATATACACATTCAAAGATAAGGAAGTCAGTATGTTTGTACTTTGCCATGCCCTCTTTTCAAAGAGCCTACTTTTCTCCATGAGAATGGGATTGATTTCAAAAGAGAGATGTGAGGTGATGCTGAGATACTTATTACGAAAGATTCGGTTTATATGGGAGGTGCCACGCTCCATTTTCAAATAGTTCGAAATTTTATTCATGAGTATGCGATTGATTTCTACTCTACCATGAACA